GAAGAAGAAGAAGAAGAAGAAGAAGAAGAAGAAGAAGAAGAAGAAGAAGAAGAAGAAGAAGAAGAAGAAGAAGAAGAAGAAGAAGAAGAAGAAGAAGAAGAAGAAGAAGAAGAAGAAGAAGAAGAAGAAGAAGAAGAAGAAGAAGAAGAAGAAGAAGAAGAAGAAGAAGAAGAAGAAGAAGAAGAAGAAGAAGAATTTATTTGCCACCTACTCTAGGTGGCTCACAACCATTAAAAAAATGAAGAAATTAAAAGGAAGTTTAAACAAAGCAAAATAACAACAGAACAACAAAATAACCAAGGAAAAAGAAAACAAAGAAAAAAAATCAATATGATTATAAAAAATAAAGATGGACGAGTGGGGAGCAGAGAAAGAGGGTGGGGGGAGGTGGTATCTACTATCAATCTAGCAGCCACGTCCAGAGTTGAACTCCTCCATTGGGTTCTCAGGCCAAGCTGCAGAGCTTGGTCTTTAGGCTCCTATGGAATGACAAGTGGTTGGGGGGCAGATCTTATCCTGGAGGGCAGGATGTTCCAAAGGGTGGGTGCTGCAGCAGAGAAGGATCTCTTCCTCTGGATCCCAACAATTAGAGTTCTTTGACCAACGGGATCTGCAGTAGGCCTTCTCTGCCAGCCTGAGTAGGATGGGCTGGTCTTAATGCAGGGGTAGGCAACCTTGGCTCTTTTATGACTCGTGGACCAACTCCCAGAATTCCTGAGCCAGCCATGCTTCTGGGAGTTGAAGTCCATGAGTCATAAAAGAGCCAAGGTTGCCTACTCCTGTCTTAGTGGGACAAAACAGTTCACCAGGTAGCCTGGACCTATGCTGGTAAATAACATGCTGCCTTTTGTTACCCAGAAGCTCTGCCTGTTCCCACAAGTCCTCCTGTACAGTGCCGGAAGAAGGAAACCAGCAAAATACAAAATGGCCGGAAGGTGTGTGTGCCTCAATCTTTTGCCACTTGCTGGGCTCGGGGTGACCCCCATTACCAGACGTTTGACATGCGGAAATATGACTTCATGGGCACCTGCACCTATACCGTAGCCAAGACCTGTGGACCAGACACAACTCTCCCGGTCTTCCATGTCACCATCAAAAATGAGAATCGGGGCGTGAAGAGTGTGTCCTACGTTGGACTGGTGATGATCCAGGTCTACGGATATGACATAGCGATAGCCAGGAAGGAACATGGGTTTGTGAGGGTAAGAACAACTATATTTCTTCCGCTTCAATATATATGCAAGTGTCCAGATCATACTGTAAGACCTTCTGTGTTATCAAGGCAAATGCACCATACCCAGCTTTCAGTTGGGGACAGCTCCTTTTTACAACCTAATGCAGAGGTCCCCAACCTTGGCCACCTTATGACTTGTGGCCAAGATTGGGGACCCCTGACCTAATGCAGTGTTTCTCAACCTGGAGAACTTTAAGATGTAGAGACTTCAACTCCCAGAATTCGTTGCCAAGGTTGAGAAACACAGACCTAAGGCCCACCTTCCAGACATGTGGACCATGTCTCAAAATTCTCAACAATGTTCAGGTTAGCTGAGGATTCCTAGAAACTGAAGTTCACACAAAGGGCAGATATCCAGGTTGGTATGGAGAGTTAGTCGGGCAGCAAAAATGGGAAATGTCTTGAGCTGCTATTATATGTGTTGGTAAACTGTAATTTGGGTTATACTCTGCCTGTGATTAAATAGCACATCCCCTCTCTGTCCTACAAGTTGTTTAAATTTACCTCTTGGTTCTCACAAGGTATGCAAGGAGCCAATGTGCATTTTGAATTAAAAAAACTCACCCTCTTTGGAGAAGCAGATCTTATTTTTACAGGTAGTCCTCGACGTACAATAGTTCATTTAGTGACAGTTCAAAGTTACAACAGTGCTAAAAAATGACTTATGACCTTTTTCACACTTAAAACTGTTGCCGCATCTCCATGGTCATGTGATCAAAATTCAGACACTTGACAACTGGCATGTACCGATGACGGTTTCAGTGTTCCAAGGTCATGTGATCACCTTTTGCGACTTTCTGACAAGCAAAGTCAATGGGGAAGCCAGATTCACTTAACAACCATGTTACTAATTTAACCTCTGCAGCAATTCACTTAACAACTGTGCTAAGAAAGGTAGTAAAATGGGGCAGAATTAATTTAACTACTGTCTCACTTAGCAACAGAAATGTTGGGTTCAATCATGGTCATAAGTCAAGGACTACTGGTTTTCTACTACCTTTAACTTTGAATATTCAACATATTTACAGAAGACTTGAATTCACAAAAAAGTCCAATCCAATTTTTCAAGAAATAGTGTTTTCTAGGACTCAACCCTTTCTTGATTTTGGCACTCCCATCAAGATTTTTTTTTGTTTGTTTTCAGCAAATATTTTAAATCCTAAACTAAAGTTGATTATAATACAATGCCATAGACAATGTAGACATGTGATCCCATTCTCCCCCAACACATGAAAACTGGTTGACTAGGTAAATACTGTTCATAATATTTCAAATGTTACTCACTCTTGGTCAATATTTTCACCCAAAGTAATGTGATCATTCAATTTGTAATACGGTTGTTATAATGAATGTTTTTACTACTATAATAGTGATAGGGATGAAATATCACAAGTAGAGCATACGATTCCTTGCCAAAGAACCCAAGTATAATTCTTACAATTTCTAGTTAGAAGAAGAAGCATCTATGTGGTTCACAGAAGGAGAGATAATACGATACAGCATTAAAGAGCTATATTTTTTCCTGTAATTTCCTTTCCGTATGAAATTCTGCCGGGAGCAATGAAATGACATGACTGAAAGCATCACTTTTTCAAAAAGTATGTGCACGTAGAAAACTAACTGCTCTAAATGAAGGCTAGATTAGAACATTTATCCCTGAGGTGCTAGTTTTCTATGAGTAAGAATTGGAGCCTTTAAAAAAGAAAAATCTAAAGAGATCAGATTTGCACTTCTTCCCATCTGCATTCTGAGATAGTAAAATCCTGTGTGAATTGAACAAGCTTCTCTTTCTTGAATAGTTCAAGTCCTGTTTTAGGCATAAAAGTTGGCTGGGTGGCTTTGGGCCAATCACCAACAGACTGTGAGTTCTAATCCTGCCTTAGGCATGAAAGCTGGCTGGCTGACTTTGGGCCAGTCACTCTCTCTCTCTCTCAGCCTAACTCACCTCACAGGGTTGTTGTGGGGAAAATAGGAGAAGGAAGGAATATTATGTGTGTTTGCTGCTTTGAGTAGGTAGGTAGGTAGGTAGGTAGGTAGGAAGGAAGGAAGGAAGGAAGGAAGGAAGGAAGGAAGGAAGGAAGGAAGGAAGGAAGGAAGGAAGGAAGGAAGGAAGGAAGGAATTTCTTATGCATATTGCATAAGTGATTGGTGTTCTAGTTGTGGATGGTTCTGCCTTTCAACAGTGGTTCAACCTTTGAGTTGCATCCATATTTATTGAGTTGCATCCATATTCAAATTATATTGTGATGTATTTTTAACACATTTATTGCACCAGGTGAATAATCAGCGCTTCCGATTGCCTGTCTCCCTGATCAAAGATAAATTATGGCTCTTCCAAAGCGGGACCTCTGCCGTACTTGAGGCGGACTTTTCACTGAAGGTGACCTATGACTGGAACAGCAACTTTGCAGTGAAGGTTTCCAGCAGTTTCTTTGAGAATGTTTGTGGCCTGTGTGGTAATTATAATGGAAAACCTGATGATGACTTCAGGACCTCCAGTGGGTCCTTGGCTCCAGGTCCTGGGGAATTTGGGCAGAGTTGGAAAGTGGAGGATGGAGACCCATTGTGCTGGAGTGAGTGCCACGGAGAATGTAAGAAGGTCACCAGGGAAAAACTCATTAAATACAGAACGTCTTGTGGCTGGATCAGTAAAAAAGGTGGCCCGTTCAGCAAGTGCCATTCTTTGGTTGAGCCTGACATCTTTGTGGAAAATTGTGCCTATGACCTCTTTGTCTATGAAGGTCACAGAGAGGCTTTGTGCCAAGCACTGAAGAGCTATGTGGACGCCTGCCAACAAGAAGGTGGAGTTGTGTTAGACTGGAGGAACCTCGTTGGGTGCCGTGAGTAGAAACTCCTTGCTTATGGTAGCTTTTCTCTAGATCAGGGCTGGGCAACTATGGGAACTTTATGACCTGTGGACTTCAACTCCCAGAACACGGCTGGCTCAGGAATTCTGGAAGTTGAAATTCACATCTCATAAAGTTGCCATATTGTTGAATCTTACTCTAGATCAGGGGTTTTCAAACTTGGCCCTTTTATGACTGGTGGACCAACTCCCAGAATTCCTCAGCCAGTATGCCTGGCTGAGGAATTCTGGGAGTTGAAGTCCACCAGTCATAAAAGGGCCAAGTTTGAAGACCCCTGATCTAGATCATCTTACTCTAGATGGGAATTGTAGTTATCGTAAAAGGCCTAGAAGAATCTGGGTCGGAGTCAAGAGAAGAATCAGCCTGGAGTCATTACATTCCCACAAGCGATCTATTTCCAACCCCTCATAAATTCCATTAAGCCTTATTTAGCACCAATTTAGTGCTGATCTGTTAGTTGACTAGACTCTTGAATAGAGATATGAGCAATAAATCAACTTAACTGGAACTTGTCATGTGGTCCTGATTCTTTGTGCCTGGCAGTAGTCCAGAATATCTGAAAGAAGCCCTGGTTGAGAAAAACTGACTTGAAACTTTGTCCTACAGTGAAATAAATATAATAATAAAACATCTTAACAGTGGCTTAAGAAGCCCAGCCTTTCGCCCTCTTGTGGCTAACTGCAGGCCAACTTCAATTAATTTCTCCCCATACTAGCCCATTCATTTCCATAGCTTTTTGAAAAGGCTACCCAAATTCACTCGAGGCAAATTTATTAGTAGGTATCAGAAATGAGAAATAATGGAACATTCATGGTCAATGACTCTCATACCTTGGAGAGTTAAGGAAAAAAAAGAGAGAGAGATTGCCCTTTTGCTTAATTTTTATCTTTTGAACTCAGCACACATCCATCATTGTCATGCTGAAACCTCAGCAGTTATCTAGTGTAGTGTGTGAATTCTTTAGCATACAGCCACACTTTTTTTTTAACTCACCCTTTGATTTTTCAGTAAAGCTCATGGGAAACAAGAGTCATAGAAATTATTACCTAGCTAAGAAGATTTGATCTGGGGGATGGGTAGACTCCCTCCCATGACAGTTAGTTTATGAAAGCACACAACGGGCGCACACTGTCAAAATTCTAAGTCTGCTTACAGCTCAGAAAAGTTAGGAATCTGTGTCCTAGAGTAGTGATCCTCAACCCTTCTAGCTTTGTGTATGGGCAAGGGGGAGGGAGAAGGAATGATTATGCATGAGCAGTGGGTGTGCATGTACTGTCTTGCTGCTCACGCAAGTGGAGCTGTGTGCATGCTCATCCTCCACTCCTGCGGCCCAGTTCCAAACATACTGCAGCCTGGTAATGGGCCACGGCCTGGGGGTTGGAGACCCCTGTCCTAGATAATTTGGTTAAACTGAAGTTTTTTGGCATGTGGGTATTCCAAAAAATTGAAACCTGTCAAAGAAGTAACGTATAAAAAAATGATTTTTACAATTTTTCCTCTCCTCCTTTTCCATAGCTTTATCCTGCCCCGAGAACAGCATCTATAATATCTGTGGGCCGGACTGTCCTGCCACTTGCAGTAATGAAGCTCTTCCATCCACCTGTTCTTCTTCACAATGTGTGGAATCCTGCCAGTGTGAGGATGACTTTGTGATGGAAGCTGGGAGGTGCATCCCACGAGCTGACTGTGGCTGCTTCTTTGAGGGTCGCCTCTTGGCTCCCAATGAGGAGTTCTGGGGAGACACCACATGCACAAAACGCTGCACCTGCGACCCACAGACCAAGGGGGTGACATGCCAGCCCACCAAGTGTAGCCAGGAAAAGCAATGTCAGGTGAAGAACGGCATCCAGGACTGCTATCCGGTGAGGTATGGGACCTGTTCTGCCATCGGCCACTCCCATTATCATGGCTTCGATGGCCACAGTTTTAACTTCCAGGGCACCTGTCTCTACACATTTGCCAAGCTGAGTCAGAAGAAGCCAGGTTTGGTGGATTTCAACATTTTGGTCCAGAACTCACATCACGGGGGCTGGTCTGGGACCCCTAAAAGGGTGGTCAAGATTGAAATTTACAACCTGGAGATAACTTTCAGCTGGGCATATCTGGGCAGAGTTATGGTGAGTTGAATCTTAGGGCTTTCTTTTTTATATAATAATTTTATTAAAGATGACAGTTGAAAAAATTATAAACTAAGAAAAATATAAAAGGAAAAAGGAAAAAGAAATACATAAAGATATAGGAAATAAGTACATAGATGGACTGCTCAAATTTTTAAAAAGGGGTTTTTCATTTAAGTCAGCTTTTAAAAACAAATTTAGACACTTATTTGTTAAGCACCTGAAAGAAAAAAAAACTTGTCCATTTCAACAGCTGTGATTGACTTAGAGCCAAATTTCTGGCAGGTCGTTCTTCATTGTTCCTTCTCCTATGTCTCTGCTTCCAGATTAATGGCCAGCTCACCAATCTGCCCTACAAGGTGGGCCCAGATCACATTATCATCTACCAAAAGGGTTGGGACACTGTGTTCCAGGCAGATTTTGGCCTCATGGTCACCTTCAGCTGGCACAGTCATCTCACAGTCACTTTGCCAACCACTTACCAAGGTGCCCTGAGTGGACTCTGTGGCAACTTCAATGGAGATAAACAAGATGACACAACATTGATTAGTGATGGGCAAGTCACCAAACTGACAGTTTTTAGCCAACTCTGGAAGGTGGCCAAGTTCCCTGGCTGTGGAGAAGTCAGCACAAAAGTATGTCCAGACTTACAGAGAGTGGCCCAGCAGCAACGAAGCATTAGCACCGAATGTGGACTCCTGGTGGACAAGCAAGGCCCATTTAGGGAATGCCATGGCAAAATCAATCCAGAGATGTTTTTCCTTGACTGTGTGTATGACTACTGCACATCCAACAGTCAAACATCTGTACTGGTCTACATCATTGCTGCTTATGCATCTGCCTGCCAAGCTGTGAAAGTGACCATTTATACCTGGAGGATCCTTATAGTCTGGAGTAAGTAAGATTCCATGGGGGTCACTCATCAAGAGATTTATTCCTTTGCTTGGCAAGTAGCCTCACAGAATACCTTTGCTCCGTTTTCCTCTCCACTCACTAGGTGCAGGGATTGGGAGACCTTACATCAGAGGTCTTCAAACTTGGCCCTTTTATGACTTGTGGACTTCAGCGCCCAGAATTCCTCAGCCAGGCACTCTGGCTGAGGAATTCTGGGAGTTGAAGTCCACAAGTCATAAAAGGGCCAAGTTTGAAGACCCTTGCCTTACATCTTCCTCATTTGATTGCTCCAGCAGTTTCGATCAGTTTCTTGTGACTCTTAGCTTGGTGTCTCTTGAGACTGACTTTCTACAGGTTCAACTGGAACAACCAATTTAGATTTGGATTCAGAATCTGAATCCTGAGCTTGGGCCAAGGTGGCCACTGATTTCAAGTTGATCAATCAGAAGTATATAGAATTTATTGGTTTGGGACGGGAGAAACTGGATTTAGCTGATTGGTAGGTCACTTCAATGAAATTCTGTAGTGGGAGAAGACATTGCCTTGGGATTACTTTTGGTAGGCTATTAAAGCAATTCTCGGACATGGTGGGAGAAATACAGCCGTCCCCCTCCATGTATGTCACAACTATATAGAGGGACAGGGGATTAAACAAAAATCTCAATTTTTTCTCAGGAGAAACTCTGCTGAGAATTTTCAACTCATTAATTAGTTAAGCAGCATCAAATTATGGTCAACTCTTAGCAACCACATAAATAGATTTTCTCCATGATACTTTAACTCATTGGTTTCCCACTATTTAATATTTGAAATGTTGGGGTTATAATGAATGCACCATTTCAGCATCTCCAGACTTGCCAATTTCCAGATGTGTAGACTTTAGATCCCAAAATTTTCCAAATAGAATAGCTATTGATGAGAACTCTGGGAATACACACCTCAATGCTTATAGGTTGGGAAACACTGATCTAGATCCACTTTCCCTCTTCCTTGCAGACTTCAGAACACATCTGGAAGGCTACTTGGATTGGTAAAAAAACAACAAAGGAAACACCTGAACCAAACTTATAAAAGATGGTCAATATCTTTTCTTATTTTCCCATTTCAGAACTTGTGTGTCCACAAAACAGCCATTATGAACTCTGTTCCAGAAGCTGCCCACAGACATGTGATAGTCTCTATTCCTCTCTGCCCTGCTCCACTTCCTGCACAGAAGGTTGTGTCTGTGATGAAGGCTTTGTGCTCAGTGGCGACCGTTGTGTCCCTCTGCATCAGTGTGGCTGCACCTATCAGGACCAGTATTATATGAGTAGACAGACCTTCTACCCAACCACTAACTGCAATATGGAATGTATGTGCCAAGTTGGTGGAGCTGTCACCTGTCACAAATTCTCCTGTGGGCCCAAAGAAGAATGCAAGAAGGTGGATGGAATCCAAAAATGCCACCCAAGGAGTTCAGCCACTTGCTCAGGTTCTGGAGATCCTCATTATCTCACTTTTGATGGAGTCCCCTTTGATTTCCAAGGCACCTGCTCTTACATCCTGGCAAAGACTACTATTGAAAGTGATCTGACTCCCTTTATTGTCACAGCAGAAAATGAGCCTTGGGGGAATGGAAAAGTCTCAGTCATTAAGCAAGTATCTGTGGAAGTCTACGGCTTCAAACTGACTCTGATCCATAAGAAAAAGGGACAGGTCCAGGTCAGTGTTTACTCTAGCATTATCTAATGACTCTATTTATATAACACATTGTCCTCTTAATCCGGAAAAAAAAAAACTTTACAGCTGCATCCATAGATCTTCTACAATCTCTCTAATTTACTTTCACAACGATGCTACAGAATGCATTGATCAAAAACATAGTGGCTGGGGAAAGCTGAAAATTATCTAATAAACTTTTGGATTGGATTGCTTTGGACTCAGGTCTTTCTGGCCCTAATTTGTTCGTTCTAACAATTTCCCATGCAGTTTGCCTTCCTTTGCATTTGTGAATTGTTCTACCAAATAATATCTCTTCTCCATAGCCCTACAGCCATGGAATGTTTGCAGTACAGTAGTTAGGCTATAAATGTATATGCCGCCCAGAGCTGCCTTGTCAGGGAGATGGGCGGCACATAGATTTAATACAAAATAAAATAATAAAATAAAATAATAATAAAGTAAAGTAAAGTAAAGTAAAGTAAAGTAAAGTAAAGTAAAGTAAAGTAAAGTAAAGTAAAGTAAAGTAAAAAAGTAAATAATATAATATAATAAAATAAAAGTGCTTCTCAACCTTGACAACTTAAAGAAGAGTGGACTTCATGTCCCAGAATTCCCCAGCCAACATAGCTGACTAGGGAATTCTGGGACTTGAAGTCCGCACATCTTAAAGTTGCCAAGGTTGAAAAGAATTCTGTTCAGGATTTGCTGTACATGAGAAGAAGAAGATACTATGGAGGCTTTGTAAAAAAAAAAACTACTACTGCACAGGCGTGACTTTTTCAGGGAGGGACAATGCAGGTCTCTTTTTCCCCAGAGAGGAGTTTCATGAAGCCCCAAACCTTCCAAGAAGGTTCCTTTGATACTTTCTAAAGGTAGCGAATGGTTTTGAATGAAATCTTCTAAAAACAGTGAATGGTTTTAAAAGGAGAAAAATAGAAAAGGAAGGAGAATTTCAACATGAAACACAAGGGACCTTCTCAAGGGATGGGTGGAGAGGCTCTTTGGTTGCATTTTGACTGGAGGTTGATTTCTGCGTCTCTTCTATTTGTTTTTAATCCAGGAAATCAAAAATGTAATTTATTTGGATTAAGAGGGACTGAGGATTATCAGGCTCAGTATTTTTCTAATTAAATAAGGCATATATTGAATCTGCCCTGCTTTGTGAACAGGTGTCACTGGATCTGAGGGTCTGTTTTGAAATAACTTTCCAAATGTGTGGAATGGAGCACAGATAAACTGTGGTGACCTTTTGTTAAAAAGGTCAATGTGTATTGATTCCCACATGCCAAGAATGATGGGAAGAACTGGAAGTTTTAATGTTCTGCTGTATAGACAGCTCAAATCCCTGAGACCAAGATGGCGACTGCTCTACCAACTCCTTGTTTACCCTCTCTTCCAGGTGAATGGGGTATTCCGGTCCCTCCCCATTGAATTTTCTGAAGGACGTCTCAAAGCCTTTCAACATGGCACTAAGGTCCTGATAAAAACCAGCTTTGGCCTTGTTGTGAGCTATGATCTGGTTTACCATGTGAGAATTACTGTCTCAAGCAGCTATCAGAAGCAGGTGCAAGGTCTGTGTGGCAACTACAATGGGATGAAGGATGATGAGTTCATACTTCCCAATGGGAAGAAAACTACTGATGTGGCTGAGTTTGGTGCTTCCTGGAAGGTTTCAGTCCTTGGGGCGGGAGGACCTTGTTCAGACGGATGCTCCGGGAGCAACTGCCCAACGTGTGATGAAGAAAAGAAGAAGATTTTCAAACAGCGCAACTACTGTGGGATCCTCACTGCCTCAGATGGTCCCCTTCATGGCTGCCACAGCAAGGTGGACCCCAGTGTGTTTTTCAACGACTGCATTTATGATTTGTGCCAAAGCAACGGAGACAGCCAGGCCTTGTGCCAAAGCATTCAGAGCTACGTGTCCGCCTGTCAAGAAGCCAAGGTCCTTATCCAGCCATGGAGAAGTCCATCTTTCTGCCGTGAGTAATATTGAATTCCAGTCCTTAGAGTCATGGAATAAAAGCATTGGAAAGGACTTTGGAGGTCTTCTAGTCCACCCCCTTGCTCAAGGCAGTAGACCTTATTCTCTCCCAGACAAATGGCTATTCAACCTTTTCTTGAAGTGATGGAGCACCCACAATTCTGTAAAGCAAGCTGTTACATTGATTAATTGTCCTTAGGTCAGGAAATTTCTCCTAAGTTCCAGAATAGATCTCTTTTTAATGAACTTCCACCCACTGCTTCTTGTCCTGCCCTCTGGTGCTTTACAGAATAGGTCATCCCCTCCTCCCTGTGACAGCCCCTCAAGTACTGATAGACAGCTGTCATGTCACTCCTAATCCTTATCTTCTTTAGGTCAGACTGCTGAGTTCTCTTAGCTGTTCATCATACGGTGTAGCCTCCAGACCCTTTATCATCTTGGTTGCTCTTCTCTGTACTCTTTCCTGGGTCTCAGCATCTTATATGAATCGTGGCATCCAGAACTGGAAGCAGTGTTCCAATCTTGTGAACATGCTTTCTTTTCTTTTAAAATATAAACCTAATAGAGAATGCTGGCTGGGGAATTCTGGGAGTTGAAGTCCACATATCTTACACACTGACCCATAGAATCATCCATTTTGAGGCTAAGCCACCAAAGAACCCTGAGCTCAGATAAAAAAGGGACACCACTTTTCCCAGTTCAGCTATCTGTCCCCTTCAGAGAAAAACCTTTTTACAGCCTCAGTTGCTTAGTGCATCCGTTTCACATGCCCCCTCCAGGAGACACAATGCACAGGCTGAAATATGCTATGAAGCAGTTGATATGAATCATTTCTCTCCCATGTCTCCCCACCCCATCTCTTTCTTTTAGCTTTACATTGCCCTCCCCACAGTCACTATGAGGAATGTGCTGATTTTTGTACTGCTGATTGCTCTGGGCTCCGAATATGTCCTGAAACCTGTGCTGAAGGGTGCCAGTGTGATCTTGGATACGTCTTTGACGGGCTCAACTGCGTCTCGGTGGAGAGCTGTGGATGCTTTGGAAATGGAAGTTATTATAGGGTAAGGCTCCAGTCTTCGCTTGAGTGAGATCTTTGCTCCACGCAGCCTCACATCTTTGGAGATGCTCCGTCATCCAGGTCCATGGTTGTCCCAAAGCTGCTTTTTCAAAAGACAACTGGACTTTGTTTTTCTTGAAGATATTTCACTTCTCCTCCAAGAAGCTTCTTCAGTTCTGACTTCAGTTCAATCAGAACTGAAGAAGCTTCTTGGATGAGAAGTGATACCTCTTCAAGAAAAACAAAGTCCAGTTGCCTTTTGAAAAATCAGCTTTGGTCCACCCAGCCTCATTGCTGCCTGTCCTGGTGAAGTTGTTGGTCAAGTCTTGCTTCAGAGGCTCCTTCCTTCTTTTCTTCTACAAGTATCCCCCAACGTACAATCATAATTGAGCGTGGAATTATAGTCATTAAACAGGTCACAACATGACCGTGAACAATTGTACGACCTTTTTTACAGCAATCTTTACATGAATCATCACAGTCTTTAAGCAAATGCAGCAGTCATTATGTCCATCCATTGTCAGCAAAGTTAAAAGTTTCCACACAAAAAAAGTCATCAATCATGCTCACATGATTGTGGGATGCTGCTGCAAACAGCCCAAAATGCGCACTGGTTGCCAAACGCCCAAAATGTGGTCATGTGACCATGCAGGGGGCAACCTTTGGAACTTCGAATCCAAGTTGTAAGTAGCTCTGGAGAAGTCCCTTGTGGTTTCAAGCAGTTGCTAAGTGACCAATCGTAACTCAAGGACTACGTGTAATGAGCCAACCAAGCCCAGGATTCAACCCTGGGCAAAGCGTTTTCTTCCTTACGTCAAATATCTTTACTTGAAATAGAAATATACAAACAGAATTAACAAAATATAAGTTTGAAATCTGCCTGAAAAATAAATAAGAAAGAAAAAGGGGGGAAGAAAAGGGGGAGGGGGGAATGTAGCTGAAAAATAGAAAAAACAGCAAATGGAAGTTACAGAAAGTAAATATCCCAGAGATAAATCTATTTAAATCCAACAACAACAACAACAATAAGTTGGAAGGGACCTCGGAGGTCATCTAGTCCAACCCCTTGCTCAGGCAGAAAACCCTTTCACCCTTTCGGACAAATGGCTGTCCAGTCTCTTCTTAAAAACTTCCAGTGTTGGAGCATTCACCACTTCTGGAGGCAGGTTGTTCCACTGGTTAATTGTTCTAACTGTCAGGAAGTTTCTCCTTAGTTCTAGGTTCTCTCTTTGATTAGTTTCCACCCGTTGCTCCTTGTCCTGCCTTCAGGGGCTTTGGAGAATAGCTTGACTTATCCAAATAGTCCTCATTTATCAACCACGATTGGGACCAGCAACTCTGTCGTTAAGTGAAGCAGCTGCACTGATGATTTTACTTCAGTTTTCCTTTGCTTTATAGACCTGCAAAGGTCATAAATTCAAAGATCGGTTGCAAAATTATTTTTTCATCACTGTCATAACCACAAACAGTCACAGGTATGTTGCTAAAGGAGGACTACCTGTATAGCAAAAGGGTGGCAGGAAGTTCAAAAGCTTGGATGATTGTAGAAGAGCTATAAGACCTAAAGAATAATAGAGGAGGTATCAGATGGACCTCTTTGAGAACATCTTACACCGGAGAGCTACTCCTAAGAAGGCCAACTCTTAATTTGCTATCATAGCATAGGAGGCTTTCTTATTTTGAATGTATTTCTATGTCGCTGAGCCCAGATTCTTGAGTTTTTCCGCCTCCTGGAACAATGAGGATATTCAATATCATAGACCAGTGGTGGCGAATTATGGCACATGTGCCAGAGGCGGCACTCAGAGCCCTCTCTATGGGCTTGCGCACCATCACCCCAGCCCCGCCTCCCCTTGTGACCCACTCCTTACCAGCAGCCCCCCTAGAGGAGAGTTGCCCCTGGGTGCGGCCCGCGCAGAGCAGTGCAGCCAAGGACATGGCAGCCTGGCAGCGGGGACAAGACTCCACCCTTGCGCCCTGTCGCGCGCAATTGATGCTGTGGGGCATGGGTGGAGGGCATAGCCACCATGGTGCTGCTGGGCTGCCTGGGCAATCTGCAGTGGGCCGTGGAGGCGGTGAGTGGCCTTGCGGGTGGGCAGGGCAGGGGTGTGTGGAGCGAGGGTGGGAGGGGCGCAGAGGGGCGGAGCAGGCAGGATGGGGAGGAGCTGGTTTTTTGGGCCCTCGGTCTCTAAAAGGCTTGCCATCACTGTCATAGACAGAATAGAGAATTGTGTTACACAATCACCTTCTGTTCCATGATGGGAGCTTAAAAAAACCTCACTGGAGGCTAAGCCTGCTGAATGCTCCCTTTGTTCCATGCCTTCTCAGCCCAACGAGATGGTCCTGCTTAACGAATGCCAGCAAATCTGCCAGTGCATCCCTGGGAAGGGCCTCGTGTGCAAATCTTACCACTGTTCTTCTGAGGAAGACTGCAGGGTCCAGGATGGAATTGTGAGCTGCATCAATAAAGGTAACAGAGTCAAGAGCTACGTTTGCACATGCTAGCTGCTAATCCCAAATCATCAAAACACAACGTGTTCACGTCATATAATATTGTGTCCAACTAAATAAAGCGAGTGTTGGCTTAGCAGGGTGACCTGTGTCCCACAATATGCCAAAACAATGTGTCATGGTTGACTTGCTACGCAGCCCTGCTGCAACCAGACAACAGTAACAGGAGGGGGGAATGCAAGGGAAGTTTGGGAGGGAACTATGGAATGCAAGTGTGCTGCCTGGAAGCGTGAGACAGACCCAGACTCCAAAGTCATCAGCTGGGAACCTCCGAAGCAGACAGGCTATTCCCAAAACTCAAGCAAGTGCAACTGATTGGTGGACAATGGACAATGGAAGGTCCTGGGGGGAAAAGGAAAATAAAATACTATGCTGTTTTGCACGCAAAATTGTCAGAACTGGCTTTTCTATTTCTGTACCCATGTGGCTTTTCAGTTAAAGTTATACTCTTGGAGGAAAAAATGTCAGAGACGTTTCTTTTACTGTTTAACACAGAGGGACAGATGACACAATGGTTAGTTCCCAAGAACGTACTGACCCACTACTACTTTTTTCAATATCATTGTAACTTTAAATGGTCACTAAATGAATTGTAAGCCGAGGACGACCTGTACTATGTCTGATTTTGTGTCTTTTCTTCTGTTAGATCCGTGCAAAACCTTACAGTGTCGGACCAAAGAAACATGTAAGGTAAAGAATGGCAAAGTCTCGTGTGTCCCGACTTACAATGAGACCTGCTTTGCCTGGGGAGAACCACACTATCACACTTTCGATGGGTTGAAGGTGGACTTCCAAGGGACTTGCACTTACACCCTGGCCAAGTATTGTGGCAATGACACCAGGCTGGTCCCATTTGTGGTGGATCAGAAGAATGAAAATCGGGGCAGGCAGGATGTCTCTTTTGTGCGGCTGACCAATATCTATGTCTACGGATACAACATCTCCATCCGCCGGAGGCACTCGGGCAAAATCTGGGTGAGTTTGGTTTTTTTATTTTATTTTTTTTGCAGTGAAATTGAGGTAGCATCAGGACATAGTCTGAAGGAACCTTTGGGATAGGCAACCTCTGAGTGATGATGAAGACACTTACCTTAGCAAAGGTAAGCATGGAAACACTGGAAGTTTTTAAGAAGAGATTGGACAGCCATTTGTCTGAAATGGTATAGGGTTTCCTGCTTGAGCAGGGGGTTGGACTAGAAGACCTCTAAGGTCCCTTCCAAATGATTCTATTCCTATTCTATTCTATTCATTATGAATTCTATTCTATTCTATTCTATTCTATTCTATTCTATTCTATTCTATTCTATTCTATTCTATTCTATTCTATTCTATCTGCAATCTTCTCTTGAAATATTATTCTGACCTTCCATCCAGCTTGCACAGGGAGCCCTCAACTTACAACAGTTTGTTCAATGACCGTTCAAAGTTACAAAGCACTGAAAAATGTGACTTATGACTGTTTTTTAATAATTACAACCTTTGCAGCATTCCCATGATCATGTGATCAAAATTCGGACGCTTGGCAGCTGGTTCATATTTAATGACCGTTGCTGTGTCCCTAGGTCACGTGATCCCCTTTTGCAAACTTCAGACCAGCAAAGTCAATGAGGGAAGTCAGAGTCACTTAACAGCCTTACACAACTTATCAACTGAAGTGATTCACTCAACAGTAGTGGCAAGAAAAGTTGCAAAATGGGGCAAAACTCACTGAACAAATATTTCACTTAACTGCAGAAATTTTGTGCGCTGTTGTGGTCCTGGAATTTTAGGATCATCTCCCATCCCAATGCTGCCCATGTCCAGCCCCGCTTAGCTTTTTTTGAGATCAGCTAAGCTTAGCCAGGTTCTGGCACCTGATATGCGAAGCCAGTCCAAAAATGTGACTTGATCATCACATTCTGAATGCAAAGTAGGCCGGTGCAAGGTGACCCAGATTCACTTTGACAAATGCATGCGGCAGAGACAACATAATTCACTGAAGGAAAAAGGCAGCACCGGACTCTTTGCTTAGACAAGGCCTTTGTGGGGGCTTTGAAGCTTCTCCATGATGGACACCAAAGCCAGAAGAGGGCTTGGCCAACCTAAACTGCATTCTGGGTCAGTTTCCATGATTTTTAGAAGGTACCATGAAAATTCATCCTATACAGGTAGTCCTCGACGTACAACCACAACTAAGCCCAACATTTCTGTTGCTGAGACATTTGGTAAGTGAGTTTTGCCCCATTTTATGAACTCTCTTGCCACAGTTGTTAAGTGAATCCCTGCAGCTGATAAGTTAATAACCCGGTTGTTAAGTGAATCTGGTTTCCCCATTGACTTTGCTTGTCAGAAGGTCACAAAAGGAGATCAACATAATCTTGGGGCGCAGCAACAGCCATCAATATGAAACTGTTGCCAAGTAGCTGGATATTGATCACGTGATCATGGGGATGCTGAGATGGTCGTAACTGTGAAAAACGGTCATCAGTCACAGTTGTAACTTTGAACGCTCACTAAGCGAACTGTTGTAAGTTGAAGACTACCTGTATTCAGTTGTGTTAGCCACAATAATTTAGGCGGCCAGGCAGTTCAAATGAAGATAAGTTGATTGTAGGCTAATACTCTCTACTAATGGGGACAGCAAATTAGCAGTAGATCAAGGTCAATGGAATTCAAGATGGGCTGGACTTAGATCTCTTGTGGGCATGAAGGGACTCATGATTGATGAGCCCTTCCCTCGGGCTGAGTCTGGTCATCTCCTACATCTGTGTACTACATTATGTATGTGTATATGTGTGTTTTAAAACACAGCTGAATGGTGTTATCACAAACCTGCCTGTGACCCTGGAGGATGGGAAAATCCATCTTTTCCGGAGTGGTGTGAGTGCCATCATGCAAACCGACTTTGGACTGGTAGTATCTTTCGACGGGGCGTCCCTCTTATCCATCACCCTCTCCAGCAGCTACTACGGTTCCCTCTGTGGCCTCTGTGGGAATTTCAACCAAAACCCAAAGGATGACATGATGACAGCTGCAGGGGACAAGGTGAATTCAGCGGTGGCGTGGGCCGCTAGTTGGCAAGTGAAGGATCGCGACCCGTTCTGCTGGCATTACTGCAAGGGCAACTGCCCCACTTGTGAGGAGAGCAAGCAGCAACTCTTTGGAAGTGACAAATTCTGTGGGCTCATCACCAAGTTGGAGGAGGGTCCCTTCCAGAAATGCCACCCCAAGTTAAACCCTGATGACTTTTTTGACAGCTGCATTTATGACGTCTGTCTCAACGGGGGTGCCAAGAGCATTCTGTGCAAAGCTCTAGAGGCTTATGCAACTAACTGCCGCACAGAAGGTGTGATCATTACAGACTGGAGAACACAAAGCGGTTGTGGTGAGTACAAGTCAGTAGAGTGGCATGAGGGAAAATCAAGCCCTCGTATTTTTTTCCCTCTTTAGAAAGGATGGGCTTATTTATTGGATGGGGAACACACCACTTTGCAGCCAATTCATTGCTGACACACTTGTGCAAGTGTGGTATCATAAAGATAGGGCAGCCCAGATTTGCACACCAGGGCTAATTGTGAAACTCATGCCACCCCATTCAACAGAAAGCAAGAGTCTTCTTGGGTTTCCTTTAGCAAAAGTTATTGAAGAGGACAGTTATAGAATTCTCAGCAATTGGCAGGATTCTGTCTAGAATCCAGTTCATCATTGAACTAGTTAAGCAAAAGATTTCTTTAGTCAGATCTCTGGGGAAACAGGCAAGTTCATTGTTCTCTGAACTAGTATAGATAGAATGTCCAGGTGGCCTCGATGTGAACGATGCTGTTATACTAATATGTGAGATAATATGTAATATAAGAATCAATTTGGTCTAGTGGTTAAGGAATCCGGCTAGCAACACAAGAGATGTAAGTCCTGGTCCCATTATAGGCTTGAAAGTGATTGGATGACTTTGGGCCAATCACCAGGAGTCTGTGAGTTCTAGTCCTGCCTTAGGCATGAAAGTAGCTGAATGAGTTTGGACCAATCACCAGGAGCCTGTGAATTCTAGTCCTGCCTTAGGCATGAAAGTTGACTAGATGACTTTGGGTCACTGTTTCTTGGCCCAACCTACTGGCTCGCTGTGAGGACAATAGGAGGAAGGAGTATTAAGTGTTCGTCATCTTGAGATATTTATGAAAATAAATTATTAAAATTTATAAAAATAATAAAGGCAGGATAAAAAAAGGAAAGGAAAGGAAGGAAAGGGAAGGGAAAGGGAAGGGATAGTAAATACATGAACTGATTGGTAGAGTTTACTGCTGTTGGGTAGGCCTGCCCTGTTATGCAACCCACACTGGCGACATTGTCTTTCTGTCTGTTTGACTTACTGAAAAGTCCTTACTCTGCTCCTTCTTTCCAGCTTTGCCCTGTCCTGAGAACAGCCACTATGAGTCCTGTGGAAGTGGTTGCCCAAACACCTGCTCTGAGCGATTGGCTTCCACATCTTGTGAGATGTCCTGTGTGGAAACCTGCCAATGCAATGAAGGCTACGTGCTCAGTGTAGATAGATGTGTCCCTGTGGGGAGTTGTGGCTGTACCTACAATGGCCTCTACTACAAACCGGAGCAGGAATTCTGGGGGGATGAGAACTGCTCCTCTCTCTGCAGGTGTGACCCCAAGATAGGCATCGTAGTGTGTGAGCCAGCCAGCTGCAAGGCTAGCGAAATATGCGGCATAGTCAACGGCATCCAAGATTGCCATGCTATCAGCTTTGCCACATGCACCATAATGGGGAATCATCACTATGCCACTTTTGATGGGCAGAAATATGACTTTACTGGCACTTGCCTCTACCAACTGGTTGGCTTCTGTGCCAAGGATCCTGCTCTCACCCCATTCACCATCAAGATCCAGAACAGCCAAGGCAGGAAGATCTTGCCATTTTCTTCTGTTGTGATCTTGGAAGTCTATAATATGATCATTACCATCAGCCAGGAGCATCCTGACACCATCCAGGTAGGAGGCTGGTCATACTCTGCTCCTGCTCCTGTAATACAGGTCATCCTAAACTTATGACCATTCATTTAGTGACTGTTCAAAGTTATAACATCACTGGAAACAAAAGGACTTACGAACAGTTATCATACGTATGACCGTAGCAACAGCCTGACAGTCAGTGATCAAAATTCAGGCACTTGCAAGCAAGCTCGTATTTACAGCAGTTACAGCATCCCAGAGTCACTGAGCTCTGGTGGCGCAGTAGTTAGAATGCAGAATTACAGGCTGACTCTGCCCACTGCCAGTAGTTCGATCCTGACCAGCTCAAGGTTGACTCAGCCTTCCATTTTTCTGAGGTTGGTAAAATGAGGACCCAGATTGTTAGGGACAATAGGCTGACTCTGTAAACCGCTTAGAGCAGGGGTCTTCAAAGTTGGCCCTTTTATGACTTGTAGATTTCAACTCCCAGAATTCCTCAGCCAGGCATGCTGGCTGAGGAATTCTGGGAGTTGAAGTCCACAAGTCATAAAAGGGCCAAGTTTGAAGACCCCTGGCTTAGAGAGTGCTGCAAAACACTATGAAGCGGTATATAAGTCTGAGTGCTATTGCCATATGATCACCATTTGTAACCTTCTCAGCTGGCTTCCAACAAGCAAAGTCAGTGGTGGAAGCCGGATTCGCTTAACGACCACATGATTCACTTAACCATTGCAGTGATTCATTTAACAACCCGTCAAAAAAGGTTGTAAAATTGAGCATCACTTAACTATTGTCTTGCTTAATAACAAAAATTGTGGTCTCAGTTGTGATAGTAAGTCGAGGACTATCTGTTAGCTTTTCCTAAAGAAGCACTGCGGTGAGTGTTTTAATGGCACATCTTATTCTTTATAAGGATGTTATGAGCTGGAGCCTCTCTTAAATATGATCGCAGATGTTTCCTCTGGGATGGTGCCCTTTGTTTTCCATTTTGACAATATTCTCTCTCTTTCTATAGGTTGATGGAGTATTAGTGGACTTGCCCTTCTACTATGAAGACAAGATCCAGGCCTACCTTAGTGGAAATCATCTTCTTATCAAGACAGAGTTTGGCCTTTCTGTGATCTTCAGCTGGAATAGACTAGTCCACATCACAGTTCCTGGCAACTATCTCAATGCAATTTGTGGTCTCTGCATTAACAGCAGTCAAAAACCTGGGAGAGAGTTTACCATGAAGAATGGGTCCCCAGCAGCCAATTTTATACAGTTTGCTGACAGCTGGAAAGAAGGAGAGATCCCTGGTTGTGTGAATGGGTGTACCAGCAACTGCCCAGGTTGCAGTGAAAACGAGAAACAGATCTACAGGAAGGACCACTACTGTGGGATCCTCTCCAGAAAAGATGGACCATTCAGGCATTGCCACACAGCCATCGACTCAGCTCCTTACCTTGATTCTTGTGTCTTGGATGCCTGTCTGTACAAAGGACACCAAAGCATCTTGTGCGGTGCCATTGAAGCCTATGCAACAGTGTGCCAAGCACTGGGCATCCAGATTGACCAATGGCGGTTGGCCTCCTTTTGCAGTAAGTATTAGAGCAACATTTCTCTACCTTGGCAACTTTAAGACCTGTGGACTTCTGAATTCTGGGAGTTGGAGTCCATAGGTCTTAAAGTTGCCAAGGTTGAAAAACGTTGTATAAGAGAGATGTTTGCAAGGGAAGGTCAAAGAAAGAAGCTAAACAATCCTTCTCCAAACCAAACTAGATCTGAAACGTTTAAAATGCGATTTTTGTATATTTTTTTAAATGAATATAACATCAGCTGGAGGGGGAATTTACCATTGGGTGGAAGGTGAGTTAATCCTTTCCTCCAGGGCTCTGATACTTGTAAAGAAATTTCCCTCTTTGAAGATGTTATTTGAGAGAGAGAAAGAGAGTGAGAGAGAAAGAGAGAGAAAACATTATTTATTTAACCATTTTGGGGCTGCTTTTCATTGAAAGTAATCCCAAAGCTATGTACAATGAATCAACCCAACAAATCCTTCTGTTTAATGTTCTTTCGATTACAAAGAAGTGAAGCATAAATATACATGTAACAATAGCTGTAGTTTAGGTTGCCTGGGACAGTCTTTTTTATTTCTGATCGTAAATAAGGAAGTAACAATGATCACCACCATCATTACAATAAAAATATGGACGATTGTACTGTCTTCTGGCTGGATGAAAAAAAACTTGTAGGACTGTGTAGATCTTTGAAGGAACACCTTCCTTTGGTGGAGGCAGGATCATGCATGGGAGGGGATCAAAACCTTCGAGCCATGGCATCACAATTGAAGCCCTGCTTCTTTGGCACAAAAGGGCAGGGGCTTTAAATCACAATAATACACTTGCCTCCTGCAGCTCTTGAGTCACAGAATCATAAAACCATAGGGCTGGAAGGGACCTTGGAGGTCTTCTAGTCCAACCCCCTGCCCAAGGCAGGAGTCCTTATACCATCCCAAACAAGTGGTGTCCAATCTTTTCTTGAAAACCTCCACCAATGGAGCACCCAATTCCTCCCCTCAGAAACCTCTTGTGGAGGCCCAAACAAAGCATCAAACAAAACAGTGTTGCAAAGCAACATGATCTTCTCACTTCTAAACATGGGTAGGGTGAATATAATCTCTTCAGCACCTACCACCAAACAGCCAAAGTGCCCTCTTGAGCTCTGCAGTTTTCAGGAAGCTGCCAACTTGAGGGAGAAGCGATGGTTCAACTTAGCCCTGCTTAATTTAAGCGGAGTGTGAGATGCTTTGCACGGGTCTGGCAAAAATCCCACAAGCTGTCAAACTCAGGAGTCCTTCCTGCAAAGTCAACACAGACCCTATAACGTGAAGGGAGATTCTGATTTTGTTTCAGTTGCTATTTATAAGCTGGTTTCACACACCACGCCAAGTTGTGATGGAGTTGGCTCACTTTGGGCTTCCTGCCTTACGTGAGTACATGATCATGAATTATGGCTTAGTTTAACATCGTATTATTGGAGCCAGGAATAAAGGTTTGGGAGGTACATTAGCAATCAGATTCCTGCCCCCCCCCAATCATACCCCCTGCCCAATGCAGCATCTACTAGTCTAGTATTCCAAGAGATTATCACCTGGCCTCAAGGCAAGCACTATCAGCAAAAGGCAGGCTGCCATCTTTCAAGATAGTTTGTTCCATGGTTGAGGAGCTCTTACTGGTATGGGATGTTTCCTGATGTTCAACTGGAATTTACTTCCTTGTAATTTAAACCCATTGTTTCTCTCCTGTCTTTTGAAACAACTCACTCTGTCTCCAGTTGTAGAGATTGTTCAGATTCTACCATCTCTTACTGCAGTCTTTTCTTCTCCAAGCTAAAATACTCACCACCTCCAACTGTTCGCCATCTTTCTTTTAAGACCCTTTAAATCTTGATGGCTCTCCGCTGAACGCACACATCAGTTATACAATATCCTTTCTAAAATGTCATGTTCCAAACCGGATGCAATATTACGAGGCGTTTGTGGAAAACTGCTTGTTGCATGAGCCCAAATAATTTGTTGATTTGTTGACTATGATTCAATAAAGCATAGTCAAACAAGCCATACATGATTCCCACAATATTCAATTGTTTTTTTCAGGTCCTTCCTGCCCCCGCAATTCTCGCTATGAACTCTGTGGAGATGGCTGTCCTGTGACCTGTCATGGCCTCTCAGCCCCTGATGAATGTGAGACGTCCTGCAAAGAAGGCTGTTACTGCAATGCTGGGTTTGTCCTGAGTGGAGATGAGTGTGTCCCAATAGGGGAATGTGGTTGTCTGTACCAGGGCAGGTATTATAAAAAGGGTGATGAATTTTACCCCAGTGCCTCTTGTGAAGACAAATGTCGTTGTGGAGAAAACGGTGCCGTAGCATGTCAGAAGATCTTCTGTGGGGCTCAGCAGCAATGCAGGATTGAGAACGGGAAGCCAGGTTGTCATCCTCGCGGCTGGGGCAAATGCAGTGTGACCAGTGGAAGCCACTACCTCACTTTGGATGGAGAGACCTTTAACTTCCTGGGGTCTTGTTCTTACACTTTGGTCGAAGTCTGTGACAGGGATCCTGAGCTGGTCCATTTCTCAGTGGTGGTGGAGAACGAGAGCAATCAGGAAGGCAAAGTCATGCCAAAGACGGTTGTCATCACTCTTCGAGGTTATGTCATCAGACTTGTGAGAGGAATCACCTGGCAAGTTCAGGTAGGTCTACTTTCCTGTCCAGCAGGGCATTTCCTACTGCTTATGTCCAGATAAACTCTTTTGGTAGTTTCCTACCACATTGCCTACTTCTTCAAACGAACTAGCCATGGTGGCACAGTAGTTAGTATGCAGTATTGCAGACTAACTCTGTCCACAGCCAGAAGTTTGATTCTCACCGGCTCAAGGTCGATAAAATGAGGACCCAGATTGTTGGGGGCAATAGGTTGACTCTGTAAACTGCTTAGAGAGGCCTGTAAGGCATTGGGAAGTGGTATATAAGTCTAAGTGCTTTTGCTATTTCTATTGCTAAACTGCAAAGATGCTGTTGCACGCATCCAGCATGTCTAACCTCTTTCCCTTGGATGATGCTCAGCTTCTAACACCAATTCTTTCTCTGGTCTAAAGAATCAATAAGGAATCCAAGAAGGTTGCGTGAGAAAGCTCATAAGAAACATCCACTGCTAAGATTCTCAGGCTCTCTCAAATTTGGAGCCCCCTCCTAACTTCTGAAGGTGTACAGTATTTATCTAGCATGGATAGCAAGCACCTTGTGGTTCTAGCAGTTTCAATTTCACCACTGCTAGGAGAGGGTTCCCATGCTATTCATCATCAATGGACTCTGATTTTAGCTGTTTGAGTAGCTCATTCATCAGATTTCAAGACTTGCAGATTGGTAGAGTCTGTCTCCCCCTTCTGTCGATTTCTCTGTCTATCTACTTGCTGTTTCATGCAGCTAGGAAGCCTGTTGTGCTTCTCAAAATCAGAGATTTCAAGGTCATTTCCATGCTGGAGATTTATAGCATCTTCTAAAGTCATCCAACCTTAGTTGTGCCCAAATAACAGTAATGCGGACAGGCTCTATCTCACTTCAGTGATGCCTGAGTGTTTCACTGAAGACGCTGTAAACGAATAGTGCAGAAACGACTCAAGTTGTATGAACGAGTGTAAGGCAGAGCTGAGCGCAAATGGCCTTTCTAAATTCTGCAAAGCAACTTGAGGACAGCAATATAAAGGGAGACAGATTTTTTAAATTCCTCCAGGGTGAGATTTCCCCCTTTGTGAAGAAAATTGCACTGCTAGTAAAAAAAAAAAAAAAAAAACTCAAATGGGAGGACTCCTCCCATCATATCTTTCTTTGAAATTTAAATATCAAGATGCTGGAGAGAGGATTGTACAATGAAGGGCAACGATTCACAAATATGTCAGGGCTATCTCATAGTAAATTAAATGCGAGAATACTATCCTCCACCCATCACAGTTTCAATAAAATGATCTTCTGCTCTGGGGAAAAAAAATGTAAAATCAATTCTCCTTTCTTGAACAAAATTAGAACTTTGAGGGGGAAAAATCAGGATATTTTTTCTGAGGCTGACACTAAGGAAAAAACATCATTTGCTCTTTGGAGCTAGTTTAATTGTGTTTTTCTTTCCCCTGGGAACATGTGAAGGTGGGCTGTGTCTATCTGTTCAAGAG